ATATTAAGTGGCTGGACTTTGCCACAAGCGAAGAGCAGAGAGATGGGGTGTTTATAACAGTCATAGGATTGACAAAATGCTGTTACATGATTTTCAAAAACAATAAGGAGAATGGTAGAAAAGGAGAACACGAAGGAAGGACAAGAACACAAAAAAAAAACCGAAACGGAACTGTAGCAGAGGTGACAACCTTTAATTTTGAAAATCTAAAGCAGCGTAGTTATTTTTGTGAACTTCCTGCCCACTTCCTTGGCTTAAATCTCAGAACTTTCACTTCAGGACACTATATATTATTGAGACTGGACTAAACCAAATTGTAGCTCTTCCCTGAAAACAACTAAATAGTTTATAATGCTTTCTCTCAGGGGATGCCGATTCCTTCAGCTATTCAACCGTTCAAGTTTCCATGCTTCATCAACGCAAAAAAAGCTAAACTTAAAAACTCTGGATTGCACAAGGCAAAAGATTAGAAAACGTCTTGGAGATTGAAACTTTTATGTTTCTCCTCAGACGAGGGAGAAAAAGAAATCCTTAGAATAACAGAAACAATGCCGTTAACTAGAACTATAAGAAAGAACGGGGGAAACAAGAAGAAAAACAGAGAAAATATAGCGAGGAGTGAAATGATTAATGAGAAAAAAGGAAAGATAAAGAACAGAGCAATAAAATCTAATTACCTGAAAGGTGAAGGAATTTCCGTCGGTTCTAAAATTTTGAAAACTCAAATGCAGGCCTTCATTTATGCTTTTCTCAACATGTTGTCCAACATCCGAATAGGGAATCACGGAAAACAGAGGAAAATACAACTGCCCCGCCTTTTTTTTCTTTTTTTTGTAGTCCTTTCCATCCGAAATTACAAGATAATTTTGGGGAGAATTTTTATAAGATAATTTAATTAAAAAAAAAGAATTCATTAATAATATTTCTTAACATTACCTTTGAAATGGAAAAAAATAAATAATATTATAACATACTTCCTCTGGATCAAAATATAGTACATTAGTAACTAATTTACAATCCTCAAAAAAAATAGTTGTAATCTTAATTTTTTTAGAAAAATTTACATCTTTTTAATTTTACCCTCATAAATACTTTACATAAATACTTTATAATGATAATTAAATTTTAATATATCATTTTTTTAAAGAGTAATAAATAAAGTAGGAGTATAATTAAAAATAATAATTGCTCCTTTCATTAAAAATATAAGGCATTTGTAACTAAATCTCACTCTCAATAAAGTAATTATTTACTTTTCAACTAACACTATCTTTTTATATTTATCTCTATTAAACACCTTACAATAAATATAAAGTCATTATCAATAAAATACTTTTGTAAAAAAAAAGGCAATGATTACATCTTGAAGACTAAAATGACTTATATTTTTAAACATCTAACTTCTCAAAAAATGTCTTATATTTTTTAATGGAGGGAGTATAAAATTTACTCGATATCCTATATTTTGAACCAAGCAAGCATTAAAATATACGCTATATTATAATTTGGAGGGAATAATGATTAAATATGTAAGACATTTTTAAAAATTTATAATTTTATTTTTTCAAAAAAAAGTAAATTTGTAAAGTATTGTTTTGTTTTATCTTGTTTTAAATTATAAAAAAAAAGTATTAAACAAAGTATGGGACTTTAATTAATTGAAATTCAATCCAGGGACAGGGAAGAGATAACTAAGACAACATTGCGTTTCCAAGGAACGCTCTGTACACCGTCCGGTGCTTCAATTAAATTGGTGAGGAGCCTGAAGCAGCAATTAGGCGCATAGATGTTGCAAACAGAGTTGGCGTCATAAACGTATGAAATAGGTCTATTGACTGTGTTACAACATTATAGGCTCTAGTTACGTCATCATCGTCCTTCACAGCACTAAATGCTTGCCGACCTGCGCAGCTCAATGTTGCTTTAACTTAGCTTTTGCCTGTGTTTCATCCCAAGGTTGATTGCAGGTCTCCCGTCTCCGGCTTGTTGATCGACCGAGCAGTTTTTTTTTTTTGACTTGTGTGCGTAGTTTTTATACTAAGAAGGAGGATTTCTTGTTACTTTAATCAATATTCTAGGCATTTTTCTCAGTATTTTCATAATCAGATCACGTAGTATTAAATTGGTTTGAATGCTAATTCATGCTTTAGTAGTTACATTATTATAGAATAAAAGACTCAAAACTATAGTTTCAAGAAAAAAACTGAGTCAAGGTCGATTTTTTAACCATTGTCATTGATTTTGACAGAGTTTTACTGATTCACCTTGGAGTCAATTTTGGGATATTCAGAATCAGACGATTGGCCAAATCTCGATCCCTCCAATTGAGTCAGCTGATGATGTGGGGACTCAACTGCTTTTTCCCGCTCAAAGCGAAGCTTCAATCTTACAGTTGAATATGAGGAGGAAAATCGTCACAGAAATGATGCGACCTAATTAAATAATCCTTATTGGTTTCTGAATTTATGGGCTGCCGAACAAATAGTGAAAAGTTGGCATTGACTTCAAGGTCAGCAGAGTGTGATGAAGCCCTGTTTAAAACGGAGTTGACTTCCCATGATTGATGATTATTCCCCATTCTTATTCCGAATCATGCCAATTGATGCAGGTGCAGGAAAGAATTATAATATTATTGACACTATACACACACAACCCCACACCCACACACACGCAGGTATAATTTTGAAGATATAATTTTAAAAAGGGACAAGGGCGGGTAGAAATTGGGCACTACAAAAAAAGACGAAGGTAATTACAATATGTTTAGTTGTTTTTACAGTAGTAACTAGATATTTTAATGAAATATGACTACTAAATATCGTTTAATCCTCGCAAGCGTAAGGATGATAATGTAGTCACTTCAATATTTGTCAAACTCCTCTGTTTTTTTTTTCTTTTTGTTTTTTTAGCCATATTATAAATCATAAGATCAAGAATGCAAAGGTTTTCTTTCAAAAATCCATTAATTATAAGTAGTTCAAGCACGGGGATTTTTTTTTTTAAGCCTGCAAAAAATAGGCTTATTCACAAAAGCCCTTGTTGATAGTATTACACTATTCAAATAGCTTGACTTGTTTTCTCGGCTCTAATTAAGGAAAGTTATCTTAATTTTATTTATAAGAGACCCCAACTTCTTGTCTAAAATATTCATTAACATTTTCTTATCCTGGCTTCATGAATTGATTGCGTATTAATGAGATCAATTATTATAAGGCACCATTGAACTCCATAAAGAAGGTTATTTTAAAAAATCATTTACAATTTTATCGTATATGTGGAATTTAATTAATTTTAAGTATAATTTGCAGTGTCTAAGTAATATGATAATTCACGTTTTGTAAAAGGGATCGGAAGAAGTCTGACCGAAAAAAGAAGAACCAATGAAAATGATGAATGAAAGGGAAGAGGGTTTGTGTGGTAGGAGTTGAGCTAAGCGTTGAATCTGTGCCGCCCACTCATGGACTCCTCTTTTATTGTATTCCACGTTTTCAACTCATTTTGGGCCTTCGTCCACTTGCCTTCATTCACTCCTACTTCATTTCAAAATACTACGCCATTACTATGAGTTTTTTGTTTCGTTTTCGGTTTACATTTAATAAAAAAAATTTTGAGAGAATTTACTTATTTGTTAAATTTGATGAAAGCATATTTTAGATATGATTTGAATGTATTTTTTAAGGTTATCCAAACAAGACCTTACTATTCACTCCTTTCCATCCTAAACACCTAACTAACTAATTTATAAAAATTATGAAAATTAGTTAAATTAGATATTGGGAGAATGACAAATAAAAACTTTGTAAAAATATTAATGTCAAATGAAAATTTTTTAACACTGATATTTTCAAATTTTTTCAAATTTCAGTACCAAAATATGATTCGGTACTCCTAATCATATTTTGGTACTAAAATTTTTAATTTGACATCAATGTTGGTCCTTACTTGTCATTTTCTCATTAGATATTTGTTTTTATCATGCCCAAAAAAAAAAAAAGAGTTACTTTTCTTAAAATACTCTCCAAGGCAATCCCCAATAACATTTGCATATTGAATCACGAAAAAACAGCACAACCATCCAATTTGGATTAGCTGGGCTCAAACAAAGGAACATTCTGATTGATATCCCCAGTAACCATGTCAATTGTTGGCACCGTTCCTCTTCCGTTCTCCGTGAGGTTCTTTTCATTGGATGTTCCAGCACTGTTGGCCACTCGCATGTATATTGTTATATTATAATAAGAAAACTCGATCATCAATTTTTATAATTTTATTAGTTTTGCTTTTTAAGTGGGTGACACGTGTTAATCATATCTCTATAATTTCAGTATTTTCAATGTCTTCAATTTTTATAAGGACTGAAATACTATGAAAAAAAAAAACAAAACTTAATGAAATTATAAAAACTAATAATTATATTTCTTCAATCATAATCCAATTACATTATGTTAAATGACAGACCGACCTGCTGAGATTAATAATTGATTGTTGAAGGAATAAGCAATTAGGAGTGGTGACGAAGCACATTGTCATGACAGTCAATAAGCTCAAATGCAACCCACGAAATACCCCGCCACACGAGCCTCTAGATTAGAATATTTTAGAATTTAGAAATCTTCCACATCCGAACATAATATTTATTAATATTCTGAAATTAACAAAAATTCCATTTCATGGGCTTCAAATAACAGGAAACCCATATCCAACCGTTTTTGCCTTGATTGCGGAAAGATCCCTGGTTGGTTTAGACTTTAGATGATGTATGTATATGACACTTCATTCACAGCTGCCACCGTCTTGGGCAAAGCAAAAGCTACTTGCTTTACACCTAGCATTTAAAAAAGCACGCAGCAGGCACCTTCACTATTTACAACATTATAATTCATTATTTCCACCCATTTCTCCGATTCCCATAAATCAAGAATCGTCCACTTTCCAAGTCAAATTGGATATAATAAAAGAACATGCTACGGACTACGGTTTCGTGATTCAGAGAGATTGCAGAGCCAGAGAAGACATGGACACTATTCCTTCTATTATTATTAAACAGCAATGTCGGGTGAACAAACAAAGATTGGAATCAGACTTCACTTATATTTCATTTTCTGCCCTGCAACCTCGGCCAACCTCATTTATTTCCCCTGCTCCTACTGTTGCTGTATTTGCAGTTCTTCATTCTGCCTCAAACGTTATTTTCTACATAATTCTATCATTTCCCATCCCTCCTACATCACACATATCACTTTCATCTCCTTTTTCGTTCACACCAAACAAAAACCTGTTTCAACTTGTAAAATACTATTCCTTTCGAAAACTACGGAAAAACTAACTTTACCATTTCCCAGAATCGAATTCCTAACCTATTCCTACAGTAGCTCCGAAGACAAAAATCCCAAGCATCCAACACGCATTTGGACAATCAGTAGGTCCACTCTGTCGGTAGCCGCAGGTTATGGTTCACCGGAGGCTGCAGCCGCAAGCTGCGTTTCTGGTGGGCAAGTCCCTGACTCCTCTGAAGCTTAGGAAAAGCGGCTTCTGCGCAATCAAAGATTCAAACGGCTCAATAAGCCACACGAAATAAGTTGTTTATAATCCTCAACAGTTGATGTTAATGAATGCAATAATTACTGTACGAATAAAAAAGAATACAATAGTCTCAATTTCTAGTAATAACTGGCAACACAGTTATTAGTATTAATTTTATGACCATTAGTTTTCTGACTTTCTCCTCGCTAAATCTAAACGCATCAGACAGATAAAAAATTAAGGGTACACGAAATAAGAGATTATTGCAAAACAATATTATTTACCACTGTCCATATTAGGCGCCACATTAAATCGAGATGGTTCTTGACGTTGAGGCTGGCCGCTCACCATGTTGTCAACCTTTAGGTTTAGGGCCTGCGCCACTCTATCAGGAACCAGCACTGTTGAACATGCTACGGACGGAAAAAAGAAATAACTCGTTAAATTACGATTCAGAAATAGATTTAACAATGACTCATTTATTGAAAAAGAAAGAACCATAGAGAAATTTCAAGAAACGGCAATAAATCAACATAAATTCTAAGCCGAACCAGCAGCAAACATTAATTCGCGAAAACGATTAAGCTTGAAGTAGCTCCTTGTACAAATTGTCAAGGGCCGCCCAAAATCCAGCTAAATACGGATGTGAATTCAAGAATATTTTGTAATAGAAAAGAAAACTGTCCATGTTCTTTACCTAGCTTTCTTTTTGGTTCAGATGGATTATCAACACGACGAGGCAAGAAAACCCCTGTTCCGGCACACTCCCTTTTTTTACCAGAAGGGTTCTCGAGGAAAACAGCTCTCATTCCGGACCCAAAGTGCTGAGTCTGAGCCTGGAACTTCGCCTGTTGAGGCCGCCATGCAGGTGACGGAAAACTCACATGGCAAGTACTTCTGGGCCCAGAAATTTCACTATTCCTTCCACTGACTGGGGCTATTAGGTTACTTCGCCTCTGTTGGCAGAGACCAAAAGAGGAATTCTGGAGCTTCGCCATCTCTAGCTCCCTCAGCATCTGAAACTGAAACAGGAAACACAAACGAATGAGATTTAGTAGATTAAAGGAGTCCAGTTATAGGTGAAAACCAAATCAACTAGAACATCGAAGTGTGATAGTAGCTTACCCGAAGTAACTGGAATTGCTGGTGAGAAAGCGGGCGATGGGTTAACAGCTTAAAGTCAGGAGGATTGCAGTTACTGGCAGGCAGATTCAACAGATAGTTAACTAACGGGCGCTGTTTATGATTGAAGCCATACGCTTCCTCGCCCAGCTTCATTTTCTCAACTTCCCCAGCGGCCGCGTGCAGGAGATCCCATGTCGCCGTCCGAGAGGACACCTTACCAGCAGTGTTAGGGCTACCGTTGCTCGAACCTTTCCGGCATCCGCATCCGCTTCCAAAAGCGCAGAGGGTGGATTGCGGCGAACCAGAGGTGAATATTTCCTGCCATTAGTCGAACTAAATGATTAAGAAAGCCGAAACAAAAAGCCGAAGAGCGCAAAAATAATGCGCCTAGAGAGCATCCGCCAAAAAATCACAGTAATAATGTGAACCTTGGGTTTGTAAGAAGAACAATCAACTTCAAGGGTGATGCGAGCCGTCCGGCGGGTTAAGTCCGGCAAGTGCTCCTCCTCGTCACTCTCTGTTTCACTGGAACCAACCACGGACTCAACAGGAGAACTGAGATCCGAAGGAACGGCACAGGATTCAAAATCATAAGGAAACTCGGAAGGGAACAGGAGATGCTCCGGAGAAACAGTATGAAGAAGGCCACTGGAGCTGATCTCGAGAGTGCCATCGGTGTCCTCGAGGATACCGTCGTCGTCAAGGAACTGAGGAGGCAGCCAGAACTCACCGTCATCCAAATTCTCGGCCATTCTCGCGGGGAGAGAGAAGGGAAAGAAGCAGCGGCAGAAAAAATCGGAGTGAGAGATTTGGAATTTGAACTGAAGGCTTTTGCTGCTTCGTGAAGATTTAATAGTAGAGAAAGTTCACAGCCGGGCATACACCTGGATTTGCAGAGCGTATGGGTCCCAGCCAAATCAAAAAGCACAAGACGGTGAGAGAGAGAGAGAGGGGGGGGGGCAGTGACGGAGGAGGATGAATTCGAGGCTTTTTATGGAAAACAGGAACGGGGCTTTTTACTTTGGGGAAGAGAGGGAGAGAAGGTGGGAGACACGCGCAGGCCATGCAAAAAGGGAAAGCGCATTAGGGTTTTGAGTGTGGGACAAAGGGAATGGAAGGAAGGTGTAACTCACATGACTGAGGCGTGAAGATGATTGATATCCAGTTGCCACCACTCCCTCTTTTTTAATTGATTGATAATTTTATTTAATGTTATTCCGATATCAGTGAAGCAAGCCACGACGTGAGTGAGTGAGAGAGAGGCGTTGTGGGTGCTCCCTCACTCACCCCTCTTTCGCCCTGCGGTTGAGTGGCTCCATCGCTTAATACAGTCCCCGTGGGCCCCCACTTCCCCCCCAACCTCCATTTTATTTTTTTTTTTTTTAATTTACTCAAATATAAAATCATTCTCTTATTGCGATTGGATGCGGTGACTTATTTCCCGGCAAAAACAATGATATTTTAAAAAAAATATATGTCTGATTTTTTTTTGGGAAAAATATAGAGGAGAGAAAACGCGGCGCTGAAGTGGGACTGCCATTTGGCATTTGTTTTTACACGTACTCCATTTGGCATTGCACACACGATCCCATTAGCCTTAAAGAAACAAATATTTGATTAAAAAAAAATGAACAACAATTCGGCGAGGGTATCCTTTGCTTGTAAGTTTTCACATTGCCTGGCCTGCACTCCTCTTTTGACTTGTTTTTGTCTTTTTTTCCTTTTCTACGTTTTTAGACTTTAATGTCCCTTCCCCATCACCTAAGTACTTCACCAACGTACACCAATAACATTAAAGGCATTTTAAAATCACAAGGCCAAACAACAACGACGACAACAAAATAGAGGCCTCGTTTTTAAAGAAAATCAACTGTCTAACCTGTAATAGTCAACGCCATTTATTTTTACGATTGCTAATTTCTTTCCATGCAATGTATATCAAAATTTGACACATGGAAGTGTATTTTTGTAAAATTCATAACCAGGGAGAAATTTGGACGGCCCTTTAATTCAAAGAAGACAAGTTCTATTGTTGTGTGTACTGTCAAAGAAAGTAGTCATACAGGAAGTGTTTGTTTGATTACATTACAGACGATTGGCATCGCATAGGAGACCACGCGTAATATTTGGTTCGTTTTCCATTTTCTGATATTCATTTTTGATCTAAGCAAATATTCGCACGTTACATCTCTGGGTCAATCATTGTCTTGCGTAGAAAACGTGTATTAGTGGCAGTTAAGAAAAGGGCTGTGTGAAACCAATAATTTGCTTTTTTAGGACGGGGTTGTTTAAAATGGTTTTTTTAGAGAAAAACACAATCTTTAGTCAGTTGTAGTGGTATTGAATTTTATTTTAAATCCTTAGAATTCTGTTCTCATATTTTCAATTTTTATAAATTTAAAAAGATTGGATGACTTTTGTTTTTAAAATTTTCATAGTTTTTATTTTTAAATAATTTGAGTCCCTAAAAAACTGAAAATACTGTTAAAAAAATATAAAGATTAAAAATAAAATTAAATGAATAAAAGATTATGTTTTTTTTAAATGACTCTTTGGGCAAGACTGTTTTGCTATTTTTAAAAATTGCAAACTTTAAAATATAAAAGCTTACGTGGTAGTTACGGCGAGGAGGGATGGTAGGGCGGACGTGGCGGTCACCGTAGTCCCGTTTAGGTGGCCTAATTTGACAAGTGTGCTGATCAAACATCCTTTTATCCCTAGCCCCTACCCTTACGGAACGCTGTCGTTTTCATGGTATCGACTCCGCATCTTTTAAGACGGCCTCCTGCTAACAAGTAACACTGCCATCTCCCATGCCGCCAGTTATGTGATTATTCGGACCTTTTTGTTCAGTCAGATATGTTTTTGAGTTAATTACAGTTACAAATCATACAAATGAATTGATGATAATACCATGGAAATTCAGGCAGGAGTGGCGGATACCTGATTTAATTTATTCTATTTTGCTTGCAAAAGTTCATGTTTAATTGAACAAGGCTTCCTGCAGTTTTATTTGCTATGTAGAACATATATTTTAGGATTTTCTAGTAATAAAATTCAAATTCACAACAAAATAAATTTCATTTTAAATAAAATATTTAGTTATATGCATAGTCATGTGTTCCGATATTTATAATATATAAGAATTAATTTAAAATTAATGTTATTAAATAATATTTTGTGTTGCAAAAACAAAGATAAAAAAAGTAGATTGATTGTAGTTGGTAAAATTATAAAGAAAATAAAAATAAAATGAAACCAAACTATTATCATAATCGTGGTATCATAATTAAGTTTTAAATTTTCTTTCCTTTTTTTGTGGAAAATAACAGCAGGGGGGGAATGCATTTCTTTATTAATATTTTTGTTACATTTCTGGCACGCCAAAGACGATGAATGGTACGTGGTCTCGTGTCGCATTTTGTGATTGTTACTGTGTATTTTACTTTTTTTTTTCTTGACCTCAAAAGAAAAGAAAGCATCTTCTTCGCAGTATGCCATGGCCAGTGCATTGAATTTCAAATAAAATATTTGTATGTTATAATGTCCATTTTTTAAGTTATTTGAACTACATATGAACATTGCCTGCTTAGGCATATGAATAAGTCATAAAATCATATGAGTTAAGTAGTTGAAAAGTTATGTCTAATCAATAATTTGAACAAAAGGATCAACCCAAATTTCAAGAGAAAGCCTCGGCCAGATAAGCACGTTGAAATTTCACTAATTGCAAACCCATTTCTTGGACTATTGGTACATAAAATCACAATCTCAAACGATCTCAAATCTTGTGGAGATATAATTGTTATTCCTAAGTATCTCAAGGGAATGGACTGGTTGTTCAAAAATGAAACACGGTAATGAAAGATCGTGCTATGAATTTTACAGACCATATGTAAGGAATCCTTGATTATTTGCAAGGGTGTTCCAAAGAGATTATCATCACTCTATCATTATAAATAGAGCACCAAATTATAGAAAGGACACACGAATATCAGTCCAAAGACTTACATTTTGCCCCTAGATTTATCAAATAGTTTTTACGTATAGCTTTTATTTTCGTTTTAAACTCATAATCATTCATGCTTTGTAATCCATTAGTATTAATCAAACACTTATTTTACTAAATCTTGTATCTCTTATATCAAAGTAAAGTGTGGCAAGAAAGCTCGGGAATCCTTTATCATCGATTGAGATTTAGTATCTCTAATATGCCTAATAATTTGTTGTTCCTAACAAACATAACCAAATAATTTAAATATAATTGTTGTGACCAACAAAGTTCGATTTAATGAAAAGAATAAATTTTTTTATAATGTATCGAATCAAAATTCAAATATTTATCGAAAGAACTACCTTACCTCCGACAAAATTGTTTAAAATAAAAAGATATCAGTAAGGAAAAAAAAACTTCAATTTTAAAATTGAAGGCAATTAATTTATGACTAAATATGTAAGATTTTTCAAAGAACAATTAAAAGGGAAAATGAAAGTAAATCCCCTCAACTATGAAAAATAACAATGAGGTTCCGTATCACACTTTGGACTGTCATGGGAAAATAATTTACCATTTGCGGGAGTTATCTCCGTTTTTGCGTAGTTGCATGCGATAAATCTTGGCTTGGGAACTGAAGTTACATTTATATGCAAATAAGTCAATAAGTGGGAAGCAGGAGCTCGGAAGGTTTGTGTATATAAAAGATGTAAATAAAGCGTAAACTAAATTTAACTTTTAATAAGTAAATTATTCATTTAACTTTTATTTGACAAAAAAAACTAAATTTAATGAATACTCATCCTTTCACAGATGCTATAATAACCAGAAGTGGGAGTCAATGAATGCATGTCAAATTCAATGAATATTGGTCGTCGTGAGTTTATATATTGGCAGGTGCAGATTTTAAATGAAATTTCACTTTGGACGAAGCAGTAAGTCACGGTTACGTTTTTGGGTAACAAAAGTCATAATTATTTGTAGAGATGGAAATAAATAAATTTCAAATTTAATTAAAATATTGGTGGTGGAGGTGGCAAAGTTGGAAATATAGAGAAGGGAGGGGTGAAAATGAAGGGGAATACCCGAGAATGAGGAAGAAAGGGATGATGTGGCGTAGACACGTGGAAGGGAGGGAGGAATTTCGGTTAGCTACGTGTGGATAGCGTGCAATCTAAATTAGCACGCGCCTTCATAAAAAAAATAACGAGGCATTACCAAAACGCATTCGTTTCGAGAGGCTTTACAAAAATGTTCCCTGGATGAGAGAGAGAGCGCTTCGCAGTTGGGAAATCAGGCGGCGCATCAAACCCTAGCACGCCATTCAACTGGAGGCGCACTCCAATTACCGCTTCCTCTCTTCCGGAGATGTCCTGCTCCTATGTCACGCTATAAATAAGAGCTCTTTTCTATTAATTAGTGCAAATTAGAGCCCGTAATTCAAATCAGATTTATTCTGAATTGAGTTTAAAATATTTAAATATATGAAAAAAGGCTTATATAGTTAAGTTCAGATCTAGCACTTCAAACTTTCGATTTTATTTGTACTGATCTACATATCTAAATTTTTAAAAAAGATTTTCTTTATTTTCTTAGCCAATTTTGATTTTTAATTCAAAATTGTAAGATTTTTCACGACAAAATATTACAACCCACCTTTTGCTATCTCATTAAATTCACATCAAACATTGAAAGAATAAAAATAAAAATAAGTGAAATAATATATCATGTTTAGTTTTTTTCATAATATTTTTACAAAAATATTCAAAACAAACAGTTATTGAGACATTAAAACTTCACGTAAGAATGCAAAATATTCAAACTGGGGGTCTCTGAAAGGGTTTGTGAGTTCTGACTAAAAGTTGAAGTGGAGGTTAATTTAATTTCATTAATAATAAAAAAAATAATTCAAGCATTTGAGCTAAACTCATATAGATTTGAGCTTTGTCCAAATTTTTTAAAT